CCAAATTACTTTAGAAGCTAATTGATAATTATCTCATAACAATGTTCCCACTCTTCATGCAGAGTTTACATTTGAACAAATAATGGAAAAATAAAACAAAGAGCTAAAAGAAAGCCTAGCTCTTAGTTCGAGTTCCTCATCAAAATACAAGGGCAACTAACCTGCCACTGGTTTTTTTTTTATGAAAAAAAAAAACGTGTGTCCAAAAAAATTAATGTCTTTTTAGACTCACACTGTGGACGTCTTTTTCATGTTTGTATTATGTTCAGCATCCTGCTCCATTCCTCAGACTTGGTTCAGATTGCTTCCTTCAGATCTTCTTTATTACAGCCTTTTCTGTCATCTCGAGTCTTAAACTTGTTATGTTGCTCTTTCCTGCCTTGTAGAAAAAATATACAAAATATAACAGCTACAACAAAACAACAGTTAGAGTGTAGCAACCTTCTCTCACTCTGCAGTGCTTCCCAGCTACAGGTGCACCTGCTATCGGCTTGATTTTTTATTCATATAGGATGGAACAAAGCACACAGCTGTTTCCTGTTCAATTGTGCTGCTGGAATTCTGTCATGGCCATTTTAATGCTGGCAAAAGTATTTACAAACACAGCAAGTACTGGCCTTCAGGAGTGGCAGCCCTTGCAGCATCACAATATATATGTATTCAAGGCATAAGCATTCAAGCCTAATTTAAATTACAAACACAAAACTTCTTTAACAAGCCATACTGTTTAGTGGCCTCTGCTGGTATGCAATAGAGCAATATTAGCTTATTTCAGAATAAATATGACTGTTTCTATTGGTTCCTTCAGTAACCAATGATGAGTAATAAGCTTTTAAAACAACTCAGGGGACAAGAATTTTAGGAAGCCAAGAGAAAGGTAATTTAAAAATTAAAAGAATGTCCCTTAGAGCACAGTGAAGTCAATTGTTAATAAGTAGAAGGTGTATTATACTATCCAGGGAGCCTAAATCAGCGCAAGGAAGGAAGAGGCTAGGAATGCAAAAGAGACAACCAATAGTGACTTTGCAAATGCAAAATAAAATATTTTAAAAATGTGTGCATCATTTTGTAACATCACAAAATCATATGGTATTTGATAGAGTCTGAATACTTTTGCAAAGCGCTTTAAATTTGATGGTGCTATATTCTTTCTGTAAAACAAAAATCACTGTAAATCAGTCCTGGTGTGTGTGTCTGTGTTTTTGTGTTTGTGTCTGTGTGTGCACTGCACACAGACTGATGCTCCATTCAGGGTGTACCTCAACTTGGGCCTGTTGATTGCTGAGGCTCCCCTTTTGAATTGAATGAAGTAGTTAGAAAATGGATGGTTGAAAATGTCACTGTGTAACTTGTATACAATTATAGGATTTGTTATTGAACTTTATAAATGTTTCCGTTGTTGATCTGTCTTCCTAAGCCTAAAACCTTAGATATTTCCTTGTATGAACTCCAACTGATCAGCCTGTGTAAATTGTTACATGGTGAAAGCATACTTCTTTACCCTTCCACAAGCACTATTTATTGTTTTTCAGCCAGGTGAGAATGTGTCAGAGAAAACTAGATTATTAGCTGACCGCATATACTTAAGATCACCCGACTAAATAAGTGTCTTTCATTGAGTGATGCGGTGCTAACAGACATATAATATAATGCAATAATGTTATTTATTGGCCCTGTGTTGTGTCTATGTCCTACAAACTGTGTGCAGTGAGTGTTTTTAAGTACTTTCTATTAAATATAATTTTTATAGAGAATTGAAAAGAGTCCTTAAAATTACAATTAGACTGTTCCTTTTTTACACCTTCATGTGCCTGTTCAGAGAACATTCAGTAGCACATCTGATGTGGTGGAGTGTACAGGTAGGTCAATGCAATTACTCAAGGCCCTAGAGCAACCAGAATCCTTAATCAGTGTTCCTCTTTCTCTCAGTCTCTGAATAGGTTAATTTAATTAATTAGTCAGAAATTAAACATTGTATGCTGTGTGTTTGAGAGAGGAGCAAAATCAAGTGTATAGGTTAATTGGATATGTTCAGTTAGCAGATGTAGTGCCATTTTTCTGTTTAATCAGAAGATTTGTGTTTCTCCCCTCAGATTGGAACATTTAGAACCGGAAATGGAGAATATTTTTTAGAACCACTGATGATTTCAGGAGAAGAGTATGAAGATGAGCACAACAAACCTCACCTTATGTACAAACATGAACCTAAGAGGGAGACACCACTGAAAGAAGATGTTAAACCTTGTGCAGTGTCAGGTAAGGTTATTTAACCTGACTTTTTGTGACATGTTTGTTGATGCCATATTTGCTGTTCAAGGTGAGCCCTCTGTATTAGTCAAGAAGTTTCATACTATTGATTACGTTCTATTTAGGAGTTGTATCAGCATGTGATCTGCAAAGAACAAGTACGTGTTAATTCCAAAATGAAAAGTAGAAAGGAAAAAAACACATTGCTTTTTCTGTGGAACTTTCTTCATCTCAATTTAAGGTTCCACATATCTGAATAAGGTTTTACACCTGAGGAGGTGTGCTTCGCATTTTTTCAGCTTTGCAGCATGGACCTTACCTCTACATTAGGCTATTAATTATTTTTTTTTCAGATGGTTTGCTTTAATTTTTGATAGCATTAGGTAAGTAACACATTACATAATATGCCCATCACTGCTCATCCAGTTTATGGTTGCTAAGTAGCCATCACACGCCAGCAGCCATATCACCCTGCAACTCACAACTGGCAACCCACTGAAGCTAAGCAGGTGTGAGCCTGGTCAGTACCTGGATGGGAGACCTCCTGGGAAAAACTAAGGTTGCTGCTGGAAGAGGTGTTAGTGGGGCCAGCAGGGGGCGCTCACCCTGCGGTCCATGTGGGTCCTAATGCCCCAGTATAGTGATGGGGACACAGGCGCTGTTTACAGTACAGCTGTCCTTCGGATGAGATGTAAAACCGAGGTCCTGACTCTCTGTGGTCATTAAAAATCCCAGGGCATTTCTCGAAAAGAGTAGGGGTGTAACCTTGTAACAAATTTCGAATTGGCCCTTAATAATCCCCATCTATGAATTGGTTTCATTACATTGCTCTCCTCCCCACTGATAGCTGATGTGTGGTGAGCGTTCTGGCGCACTATGGCTGCCATCGCGTCATCCAGGTGGGGGCTGCACATTGGTGGAGTCCCCATTACCTGTAAAGCGCTTTGAGTGGAGTGTCCAGAAAAGCGCTATATAAGTGTTAGCAATTATTATTATTAAGTGAAGGATGTATGGTAACGACTGTTTGCAAATGACACTCAGTGACACAGGATCCACAGTATAATTTGACAGTTTGTTCCATTACCATGTGGTATACCATATGTGGAAAGTAATTGAAGTTAATATAAATTAACACCCTAATGTTTTTTTTTTACATTTACAAAATGTATCTAGACACGTCTGAAGCAATAAATTAAAAACAATTGTTAAGGAAAATTACCTAGCACAGTTACCTAGCATGTACATACTGTAACAAGGTCATACTCGCCTTTGCCTTAGGGGTTTTTGCTTCTTGTTAAATTAAAGGTTTTTCAGATGCATACAATTACAGTATATCATGCCTTTTCCTATTGACTGCTAATAAGTTTAGAAAATGCCGTTTGTGATTTTAGGCTAGAACACTTTTATACTTTTAAGGTTAGTGTCTGTGGCTGGAGACTTTTTATAGTAACCACGTCCAGATACCCTCTCTGTACACCAGTGATAAAAGTGATAAAGTAACAGGGACAAACAGATCTATTAGGTGTATCCACTTTTTAAATCTTATTTTTACAAAGAAAGATTTAAAAACCTTTTTTACTTAAAGCTAATAGAAGGCATTTTAAAATTACATCCAAATTTTTCGCTTAAGTACTTTAAATTTGTTTCTGCTTTGTGATAACTTATATTTTCTTTAGGCAGACATGTATGCATCACTAAAAATGTCAAGTGTGTAAATATAATTTTCTGGTATAAAAAGCCCCATAACATTTTGTAATTAAAACAATATCATATCTTCTCCTTGGAGAAAAAAGTTTAATGTTGAGTGTTTTTGCAGTAATATTTTAGTAGTATCAACACTATAATCTCTGACAGTTATGTGACATCTGATTGAATTCATATTCAATTAAACCTCTAGTTAAAAACAGCTGTTTCTATCTAAATATAATTATGTAGTGAAAATAGTATAATCTTTTGTTGATATTTGATAACCATTTGAGAAAACATAGAGAAGATTAGTTTAGGTGGGTAGCTGCGTCAGCATGCGTAGGCTGCAAAGGAACAAGTAATAGGTTTATTCCATGCTGAAAAGAGAAAAAGAAAACAAAACGTTTCGGCCATGGAGCTTTCTTCAGGTGTGAGAAAGACAGGGCGGTAAGCAAAGGTAATGTAGTGGGAGAACAAAAGCTGGGACAGAGGAGGAGCGGGAGGCGGGAGCAGGGGACAGGCAGAGTGGCCAATCAGGTGGTGTGGTCAGGGTAGGTGAAGAGAGGTGTGAAATGAAACTTCCAATGAATGGAGAAAATTAAGAAGAAAATGAGTCTGTAGTTGAGAGAAGGGGAAAGGTTTTTGTAGTCTTTCTGATGTTGGAGTTAGGAAAACCATCTTTGAGAACACAGACGGAGAGATTAGTGTGATCATGGCCATCAGAGGTGAAATGAGAAACAATAGGCTTAGAGAAATCTTGAATCTTCACAGCCCTAACATGTTCTCTGAAGCGGTCTCAGAGTCTCCTTCCTGTTTCTCAAATGTAGATAGCTGGGCATTTACTGCAAGAGATACAGAAAATAAGGTTGCTGAAGGTACAAGATGTCATCTGAGTGATCCGGAATTGTCCTGAGGGCCTTGAATGAGTGTGGTATTAGATATGTACTTGCAGGTGATACAGCGAGCTCTGTTGCAGGGGAAAGTGCCTGATGTGGATGGTGGCTGAGGATGGTCAAGGGAGCTGTGAACAAGAAGGTTACGCAGATTAGGTGGTCGGCGATATGAGATGATGGGGTGGTAAAAAAAAGGGCCCCAATGGAGGGATCATCCTGTAAGATTTGGAATTTGTCATGAATAGTCCTGGGGATAGGAAGTGTGTTGGGGTGGTAGGGAACCAACAAAGGAATATGGTTGTTTAGTTTTATGAAGATTAGTTTTATTTCTAAAGATTTTGAAACTAGTTTTTGTTATACTTTATTTTTGCAATCAAAATTTAAATTAAAAATATTGGATTAGATCTAGCGATTACTTTAGCACAATCAATTATAGGATAAATTTGGATTATGTTTTAACCATGTACATGTATTTGAAAAGATCAGGATTAAGTCCAGTATTTTGCAAGATAATCTGATAAAATGACTCATAATGTTTTATTGCTAACAAATCTACAAGTATGTAGCTAATGAAGAACAGAAATGCTTTAGGGCACTGTTTCATTAATGTTTTGAAGCATTTCTATTCTGGTGACGTAAGATGTTTAATATGGTATATCCCAAAAGAGTACCAATTTAAAAAATAATTCCTTTCAAGATTGTGTAAAAAACTTGGGTCCTCTGTTAAACTGACTGTTAGAATTCTGCCTTTTCATTTGACTTTTTTATAGCCTTTCCCTCTGTGTAGAGCAGCAGAGCACAAAAGGAATCCTTACCCTGCAAAGTTCACCATGGCATAAATCTGAAAAGATCACCAGAAGAAATCTTTGTGGGCGGCCTCTTTGTAGACAGCATACATCTTTTATCAGCAGGGAGCTTGATTTGTCGGTTGTCTGAGCTCATTATCATGTATTGTTACCTGGTAATAGCAGAAGTCAGCAATAAGGGTTAGAAGCCTAAAGTGACCCCTGGGTTTTTGAGAGATTTTCACAATTTATGTATTGCTTCTTTTAGGCACAGAATGTCCTAAAAGGGTGTACTCTCATTTAGAGAAAAAGTTATTGACCAACATAACATTATTACCAAATCTGAAAACCATTTAAACCCCAGAAATGCTTCTATGAATGAAGTTTGGATTTATTGAGATGCTCTAAAACTTGTGCCAGAAGAGATGCCTCTGCAGACACTTCTTAAATTCATAGAAGAGGTGGTGATAATGATGAGATAAGGAGTAAAAAAGAAGACACCTGCATCAAGCATCAAAGTACAAAATGCAGACGATGAATCAGAATTTAAAGGGATTTGTTGGAGTAGGTGTCCAAATCGATGGTTCCAAACTCCCATCAGATAGCATCTGTTTTCAGATGTAATGATAAAGAGGCCCTTTGAAGGGTAGGCCTATGTAGTACCCCACTTAACCCTAAGCTATTATGACAAGGCCGTGCGAGAAGGGTTTCTTTCTCCATATGACATGCCAAAAGAGGAATAAAATGCTTGCTTTGTAATATGTTACAAATATGTTGCTGCTTCAGAAATATGGCACTGCTAAGGGATAGGCCAAAACCCCTCAAAAGGAGTGAATCCTTACAGTGTTTTCTAATGTTCAAATATTTGTGTGGTCTACTATGTACAGTTAAAACATTTCAAGTTAAATAACTGAATTTACTATTTCAAAATACTTTGTTGCTGCCATTGACTATGTCATTGTCAGTGTTTTCTGAAAAGTGTAAATTAGCTTTGTGTCCCCAGCACCTATTTTCACTGAACTTGTTTTCACCTTAGAATCAGAGTTCTGTCCTTTCTCAGGAATAAAGTGGTCAAAGCTGTAAACCAGTTCATTTCCTTGCCTGAAGCATTGACCTAATTAGAAGTCAGTGTGCTGACCTACTTAGTTTTCAGCCTTTTAGCAGGTTCAGAGCTGGTGAAATACCCTGAAGCAGAATCTCTCAACAGGTACAGTGATATGCTTCAAAACAAGTGTATAAAGACCTCAGCATTGAAGTCATGGAATGCACTTATGGATTCATAGTTAGTTTCTTTCTCATTTGTTCTTGAGACTTCAGGTTGTTGTAGGATTATTTTTACTGACATCTGTTCAGACTATTCGACATTAGTAGTTGTATGCTTCCCTGTGGTCACTCTTTAAGTTAATTTCTTGTCCCAGAAACTGCTTGCCTTAGATCTTTTATCATCACTTCTTCTCCTCCAATCCAGACCGCAACCCAAACTTTTTAAACCGTGATGTGAGTAAAGTTCATGACAGGCACCACTGGGATTCTTTGCTCTTTGCCCACATAATTGCTTTAAGACATTACATACATGGCATGACATTACATGACTTACCTGCTTAAATTGACTTAAACAATGAGCTGTTGTGTTTGGCTTTGATTG